CTGGTTAATTGTTATCACTGTCGGGAAATTTCTCCTTAGTTCTAAGTTGCTTCTCTACTTGGTTAGTTTCCATCTGTTGCTTCTTGTCCTGCCTTCAGGTGCTTTGGAGAACAGCTTGACACCCTCTTCTTTGGGGCAGCCCCTTAATTAAATATTGGAAGACTGCTATCATGTCACCCCAACTCTTCTTTTCATCAAACTAGACACACCCCATTCCTGCAACCATTCATTGTATGTTTCGGCCTCCAGTCCCCTAATCCTCTTTGTTGCTCTTCTCTGCACTCTTTCGACAACCTCAACATCTTTTTTACATCGTGGCAACCAAAACTGGATGCAGTATTCCAAGTGTGGCCTTACCAAGGCCTTATAAAGTGGTGTTAACACTTCACGTGATCTTGATGTTATCCCTCTTGTTAATAGAGCCTAGGATTGCATTGGCTTTTGGGGGCAGCTGCAGCACACGGCTGGCTCATGTTTATAACTGATTGTTCCGCTTCTTGAAAGTCTCAAGTGATGGCGCTCCCACAACTTCCGAAGGCAAAACTGTTCCATGGGTGGATTGTTCTCACTGTCAGAAAGTTTCTCTTTATTTCTAGGCTGAATCTCTCCTGGATCAGTTTCCAAACATTATTCCTTGTCTGGCCTACAGGCGCTTTAGAAAATAGATTGACCCCTTCCTCCTCTCTGGGGCAGCCCCTCCTCAAATATTGGAAGACTTCTGAACGGAAAATAACTTTATGTCAACATAGTATGATAGACCTGCGGGGCTGGTGCGTTGTGCAACAAGGTCACATGGTCTAATAAGATTGGGACTGGGTTAGGGACTTCTGTCCTCACTGTGAGTTGTGTGTGTATGGGGGGGCGGGTTGCACGAAGGGAGGCTCAGCCAATCTCATTGTACGCATGTTGTACTCTGACAATAAAGGTAATAATAATAAAGTTTCTGTACAAGATCTGTTTAACTTGTACATACAAGTAGTCCTTGAGTTACAACCACGATGGACCCCAACATTACCGCTGTTAAGCGAGACATTTGTTAAGTGAGTTTTGCCCCATTTTACGACTTTTCTGGCCGCAGTGGTTAAGGGAATCACGGCAATTGATAAGTTACTAAGCCGGTTGTTAAGTGAATCTGCCTTCCCCATTGACTTTGTTCGTCAGAAGGACATGCCGTCGTAACTTTGATCTGTCACTCAACTGTTCTACGTCAAGAACTACCTGTATTTTAATCTTGTGTTTTATATTTTAAATGTTATGTCCTATCGTATGCCTTATTTTAATTGTGATGCTTCTGACACGAATCAAAAAGTCCAGCACAGGTCCTCAACTTACAGAGGTCCATTTAGTGACCGTTTGTTGTGGCCCCACCAGCAGCCAACAGAGCTGGAGGCAGACTCAGACAGTGAGGAGGTTGGGGAGGAACATGGGCCAATCCTGGAGTCTGGGGAAGGCTCTGACAAGGGCTCTGCGTTGGAGGCAGAGATGGGGGCCAGGGCCGTCCGACAGTTATCAACTGCCTTTGGAGTCGGAGATCAGTGGGGAAGAAGAGCAGCTGGAGCCTGTTCCCAGTGTGCACATGCACAGAGCTGTCAGGAGAAGGGAACAATTAAGAAACAAGGGCAGGGGTGGGATGCCACCAGTTCTGCCCAGCTCTATAGAACCGGTAGCTCTGAAGAGCAGCAGACACTGAACCGGTTCTGTGTCTGCTGCTGTTTGGCCCACCCACCTACTCTTACCTCTCCTTTATTTCCTGCTTTTTCAACCTCAGCTGCTTTGTGCGGCACACCTGAGGTTGAAATAGCAAAACGTAATCACCGAACTGGTAGTAACATCGGTTGAACCTCACCCCTGAACAAGGAGCGACTTGGGAGTAAAGGCACAGGTGGACGATGAATGGCCCCTCCCAAAGGGAATAAAGAGGAATGAAAGGGGAGTGGTGTTTGTAGGAGACAATTAATTCGTTTAATTAGTGTGAAGATTTGTTCCTTGTGCTTGGAAGCTATCAGCCTGGCAACTCTCCAAGCATGATAAAGGTCTGTGGTTCTAAAACACTCTTGAAAGACTGTTTGCCGGGTCTTTGCTGGATGTGAATGAGAAGAATTCACATTAGCTTAATAAAAAGGAGTTGTGTCAGGACGAGGAGTCTGCTTCGAGATTTTGGTGAAGCCTAGGTCAGAACACCGTTCAAGGTTATGACAGCTCTGAAAGAAGCGACTTATGATCGTTTTTCACACTTACGACTGTTGCAACATCCTCGTAGCCACATGATCGAAATTCAGACACTTCAAAATCCAGACTCTTGGCAACTGACTCCTACTTATGATGATCGCAGTCTCCCAGAGTCATGTGATCATTTTTGGGCGGACCTTCTGACAAGCAAAGTCAACGGGGAAGCCAGATTTGCTTAATGACATCAGCAAAAAAACACCTCGTACAATGGGGCCAAGTTACACTTAACAAGTGTCTTGCTTAGCGAAGGAAATTTTAGGCTCTACTGTGGTCGTAAGACGAGGACTACCTGTGGAGCCTTCGTTTTCGAAAGCAGTGTGCCCCTGAGTTACACAACGAGGAGGGATCCAACCTCCACGGTCTCCAGAACCACCTAGCTCCAGAAACCAGAACCCCCGATGATGCTCGAATCCTGCCAAACCCCAAACCGACCCTTGTATTGGCAACACCAGGGAAAATAAGAAGCTAAATTGAAATATTTCCTTTTATTTATTTAACAAACACTATCGTCTTGAGTTCTGAAGAATGTGTGTTGAAAGAGAAAGAAAGAAAGAAAGAAAGAAAGAAAGAAAGAAAGAAAGAAAGA